AAGTCCCATTGGCCATGCTAGCTGGAGGTGATGGATTAATTTTGCTTAAATTTCTGGAGAGATTAAGCAAGAACCAAGCTTAACGGTCATTGCTGGCAATTTAGCCAATGCTTTCTTTCAGTGAATAGATAGAACATGTCCATACATGTCATTACCTAGTGCTTTTATCACAATCCTTCTGACATCATTGAACAATTTTCTTCATGCATTTCAACTTTTAAAATAGTACAACACTGAGTTTATAATTAAATTTATCTCTGATCACTAATGAAAAATATTTTTCACCCTTGAAACTAATACAGGTTAGAAAAAGAAAAGCCTAGTCTTATATTAGGTCACAACTGCCTAAATATGAGTATAGTATCAGTAATTACTCTTTGTCTTGTGATGGATAAAAAGATAAGAGAAAAATTGCAATGATGATAGAGGTGAGCAAATGCTTAACAGAACCACTTATTCTCTATATAATCAGCATGCAGCAAATATCCTATAAACCCTGGGACTGAATCCAGCCTTTCCGGGGTCCTGATCCACAATCTGTGGATTCCACAGAAGCCATGTCTACTTACGTTTGACACCATCTCTTGATGCTTTTATAGAGTTTCTATATTTTACTTCATTCTATAACAGTTGTTCCCAATCTTTGTTTGACCAGGAACCACTTGCCCAGGGATCCCTTGACCAGGCATTACTTGACCAAGGACCACTTTGACCAGGGACCACTCCCCAACATTAGTACCAAAAAGATTACAAATCAGTTTTTGGTCAACTTTAGTTTCGGTTTGGGGTGCTGATTCAGAAAATTGAATTGGCTAGACAACATCAGCTCTAGTTTCTCATATAGAACATATGCCATGGTCAGCAACAGGGAAGGAGTGGCAGGTGGCATGAAATGAGCAGAAATAAAATAAATAAAATAAATTAATAAATAAAGAGGAAGGAGTCTCGGGGACAGGATTTTCATCCTTGCAGCCCACTTGGTTGTCCGCAGCCCACAGATTAAGAACCACTGTTTTATAGTGATGCTGCCATTGTTGTGATTGAGAATATCTTTAAACTAAACTATGCAGCTATTTGTGGAGCCCTCCTTTTGTCTTTGACCCTGCCTGCCATCACTGCTGTTGCAGCCATGAAAAATCTCTCTGGAATTCAGTTTCAACCTCAGGCTGAAATATGTCCCCATCCTTACTAGTGCTATATATTCATAGTCAACTTCAGTAACCAAAACAGCATGCCTGCTGGAGAGGAAGGTTGGGTGAACACAATGTTTGTAACAGTATTTTAAAAAAACGGGGAGAGGGGGAATCCTACAGATAGATATAGAGACAAATACACATGAAACGTCTTTCTGGACAGTGTGGGTCTGGCAGCAGAAACACACTCAATGGGACTACCCTTTCCCTCCTTTTATTCCCTGCTGCAGCTGCCATTACACTGTGCCCTCCATTTTTTCTGATCATCCACCCCATTTTTTTCCTTTATTGCCAAAAGAAAGGTATGGCATTACTATTTTTATTCACATTCTTTTAGCAAGATATTTTTTCATCCATATCAAGGCATTGCAAGACTGATTTCTGTGTGTCAGTATCTCTCCCCTCCCTCAGCACCATCTCCATTCTCTTAATCAATAGATAAACGATCTTCACACTTTAACAATCATTCTATTTGGATCCAGGATCTAAACTTCAAAATCCAGACCCATCTCTCAAGAAATACCTTTCTAGCATTCTCCAGGGTGTCTGGTAACTTTTATTCTTTGCCAATGAAGTTATATCTGAAAGATAAAATAACCCAAAGCACTACGATTCCCGTCTCTTCTCTCCCTGCCTTCCCATACTCCTAGCAACTCTTGTCCTGGACATTTGGAGCCACTGCAGCAAAACTGGCATGTTTCCTTTGAACAAATGAAACAGTGATTCACAGTCTTTGAAACTGGAAATAGCCATAAGAAAGGAAAAATTGGGAGCTTTCTCACTTCTGCAAACAAGGCTAAGTTATCTATCCACCAAATGGTAGGGGAAATAAAGTACATAGTAGGAGAAACAAAACAAAACAAACTTCTTTTTTCTATATTTTACTGCTCAAACAAGTAAGTGTGTGGTGTCAAGGGAAAAATATATGCTGCAGCAGTTTCTGTTCAGTGGTAAGAAATATTTTTGACAGGCCAAATAGCAGCTGAAGAAGTTTAGACAGCTGAAGATGCCACTTGTCACATTCCAGTGGTCAAATCCTGGCTAATTTGTTCCTTCATTGCCTGCTGAGAGAGGCCACTCTGCACATGCAAGAAAAACAAGGAGGAGATTGGTGTCTAACCAACACAAGCAAAAGTCCTATGATTTTTGTTACTGCTGTTGCTCCTATCCTATAACACGAAACATTATCACTTTTACCATCCATTTTCTCTACAAAGGTCACATGCAACATAATTAAAGACAAAGAGATGTGGGCGAAGTATACAGTTTAGGAGAGGATTAAAAAAACCTTTTCAGCTTTGAGTGATACATATGATGCTACCTCAGGAGTTGGGAACTACAATTTTGTGTATCTGCATGTACATAGAAGTGATCCTGGTTTGTCTGCATTTTCCCTTACTGCTAGCATCAGGGAAATTGTGATTTCTATGCTGGGGAAAAGACAGGAGAGCCTTTAGCAATTAAAAAAAACTGGTGGTGGTGGAGAATGGGTATCAAGAAATCCAGTGGAGGTTGAAGTTCATCACTTGAGGGGCTACATGTTTTACACCCTGGATTTAGGGAAAGGTTGTTCTTTTGTTAATTTGTTTCCCACCCCAGCCCCCCAGAACTGGGACCCAAGACAGATTGCAAAATGAAAGCAGATGCTAATAAAAAGATACCTGGATAGAATCTTACAAAATATTTAGTCCTAAAATATAATATAGTTATTTATAAATTTTAAAACAAAAATATATCAATATATTGTCGAAGGCTTTCATGGCTCAAATCACTGGGTTGTTGTAGGTTTTTTGGGCTATATGGCCATGTTCTAGAAGCATTCTCTTCTGACATTTTGCCTGCATCTATGGCAAGCATCTTCAGAGGTTGTGAGGTCTCACAACCTCTGAGGATGCTTGCCATAGATGCAAGCAAAACATCAGGAGAGAATGCTTTTAGAACATGGCTATATAGCCCGAAAAACCTACCACAAACCAAAAATATTTCAATTAAAAATACCATTAATAGCACCCTTCCTTAAAATCAAACAATTTACTCCCCCAAGCCTGGTGCATTTCAAAAGAAAGCGAAGTAGGGGCACCCACCTCAGAGAAGCCCCCCTCTCACATCCCCATCAACTGTGTTAGTGAACGTTCTGGGGCAGAAAGAACACTCCTGAAAATCCCAGATCATGAGTAGGCTTATAAGGATTGATGTGGTCTTTTACACAGCATCATTAACAGCACTTTGAACCGAGTTAGCAACCAATGGAGCTGTTTTTTACAAGGGAATCATGAACTCTGTTAACCACCTCAGTCATCATTTTAGCTGCAGCAATTCAGATTTGCTGAAATTCTAAACACTTTTCAAAGGCAATCCCAAATGAAGTAAATTATAGTACAGGCAGTCCCCACATTACAAACAAAATAGGTTCTGTAGGTTTGATCTTACATTGAATTTGGTTGTAAGTCGGAACAGGTATATTTTTAAGTGTAACTCCAGATAGATATAGATATAGCTGGAGGTATATGTGTGTGTGTGTGTGTGTGTGTGTGTGTGTGTGTGTGTGCATGCTTTAGATGGCATAGGGAAGGGTTAACACCCCTGTGGTATTTGTTTTGTTGTCTGTTCTCCTGTTCAGAAGATTTCACCTCACTTTTTGTTGCTGTGATAATTGGATTTTGAAAAATTTGGCTTGTTATGGAAACAAGGACTGGTGAGAAAGCTTCAGTGGAGACACCTTTTCCCCCATGATAACTCTCCCAGGAGTGAATTTCCCTTCCTAAGGGTAGATTTCTCTCACTTCCTGTTGTCTCAGCCCTGTTCTTAGCTAAGAATTGTTTGTAAATTGGACGCTTGTAACTCAGGGACTCCATGTAATCTATTAATCTATGAAGTCTTGGAAAAGGGGTTTTTTTGGACTACAAATTCCAGAATTCCATGGCTATGTTGGCTTAGGAATTCTAGCGCTGCCATCCTATGAGGAAGGAAGATGGGGGGCAGGGGGAAGGGATGCCCTTCTTTTCGGACTGTGAGAGCAGCTAGTGAATTCTCCACAGTTGTAGTAGAAAGGAAAAAAATTTCAAGGTTTTGAGGAATAGTTGGATTTTTCTTTAAAAAGCCACAATCAAATGCAGAAATCTGCATCATGTAAAGATATTGAAGTCTTACTTAGAGCTCCAAGTAGTTTGCATGTATTTTCAAGGATGATGCTTCTTATATTCTTATAGGGAGTTCAGGTTTGTAAAAGTGCTATCTTTTCTTCCATTATTACTCTCTTAAGAAGTTATCATCAATCTTTACAAATTACCTCCAGATGTTTTCTGGATCAAATTAGGCAGCATGGGGCCACCTTGTTCTGAATTCACCTCATGTTCTTTTGGTAGCCATTAAAAAAACAGACACTACTATGAACAGATAATTTGTCTAAAGAGTTCCAGATTTTTTTGATGAAGGCAGAGCTGTGACATTCTTCCAGCAGAAGGAATATGTCCAAGTTAAATAAAAGTCTCCATCTCCTATTTTCTAGGGGAAAGTGCCACCTGATCACCAGTTGTGTTAATATCATACAGACCAGGGATGCTTTCCATCAAGGTCCCTTTCTGAGCCACATGTTGCCTAGTTAAAGATACCAATTCTGTGAATGCCTCAGATCTCCAAACTGTCGGTTTCCACTTCCAGGAAACTGTTAAGGCCAGGAGCTCCAATAAACTCTCCATATTCACACTTGGGTATATGCCTCTGTTCACATTAAATTGTAACAAGCTAATATAAGAGAGCTCCCATTGCTTTCAACGTGTGAGAAACATGGGAAAATAAAATAAGTACCTCCTTGTGTCACCACTGCTGCCGCTGCAGCTAAAGGAATGGGTTTTTTCCCTGTTTCATTAAAGCCATTGCCTGCCTCCAGAAAGGCAGCTTTCCCTTCTTTTTTTCCAGCTGCTGTTGAGGTGGATGTTTCCATCTTACAGTTGCATATTCCAGCTTCTTGGCCCTTAAAAACAAGAGAGAAGAAAGGAAGGGAGTTCAATCATTTCCTCTATTAAAGATGCAAAAAAAAAAAAGCCTTGTTTTATGGAAGCACTTACATCTCATTTCAAAAGATAATTAAAAACAATAACAACAACAAGCTGTTTAATTGCTCACTAAGGCTTTCTAAAGCTACTGTAATTATAACCATAAATATAATTATAATTATAATCAAGAAAAACCATGACTCCACTAAAGTTCCAAGCTTTCAACTTTTGGGGTTCTGTTCATGCCAAAAGCTAAGATTTATTTTCACATTTTAAAATAATTGGTGACCACGCCACATTATTTTAAAAACACTAAACTAGGCTTTTGCTTTATATGTGATGTCACTAGGAATCACAAAATTTTGCAGCTTTTGATGAAAAACCTTGGAAAGTTGTTCAAACTGAGAGCTTTCCTCAGCCATGAAAATTGCTGATGAATTACCATAACAGTGTTAGCACAGAAAATAAACTTTTGAGAAACTCAATCTGTGAATGTTGAGATCTGCTATTATTTTTGGTTAAATGTTAAAGATAGACCAACAATAGGCATGATCAAGCAGCATTAAACATTTTAAAGCTCAATCATTCAAATAAGTCTGTGCAAAAAAACAGTCTGTTGTATTGGTGCAATGGTCAGGAGTGTTTATTACTAGCTTCTCTTGATTCATCAGTTGCGCCCCTTCCTAGAATAGGAGGATCTAAAGACGGTGATACTCATGCTGGTAGCCTCAAGGTTGGATTTCTGCAATGTGCTTTACATTGGGTATCTCTGTACCAAATTTGGAAAGTTCATTTAGTTCAAATCACAGTAGCCAGACTACATCCAGGAATGAGCTATCACCCCATATTTTACAGTCACTCAACTCGTTTCCAATTCGTTTCCAGGAAAAGTACAGTGTTGGTTTTGATCTTTAAAGCCCTACATGGTTTAGGTCCAGGTAACCTATAGGATTGCCTTCTTTCATAACCTCAAGGTTAGACTTCTGCAATGTGCTTTACATTGAGCAGGTACCTCTGTACCAAATTCTGAAACTTCAGTTAGTTCAAATCACAACAGCCAGACTACATCCAGAAGTGAGCACATCACCCCATATTTTACAGTCACTCAACTGGTTTACAATTAGTTTCTAGGCAAAGTACAAAGTGTTGGTTTTGATCTTTAAAGCCTATATGGTTTAGGTCCAGGTTACCTATAAGATCGCCTTCTTCTGTACAATCCACCACTGAACACTTAAGTCCTCTGGGGAGCAGCTACCAGAACCCAACTGACGACCAACCCCCCAAAACTATGGAACAATCTGCCAGAAGAGTTCTGACAGCTAAATGAGCTGTCAGAAATTCAAGATACAACAGAAGACCAATCTCTTCTGGCAGACCTATACAGCCAGTTCTAAACAGTGAATTTTAACATAAATTGTATTGCTATTGGTGTGTATTTTGATATATGCATTTAATGGTGTTGTATTTGTCTGTCTTTTTTTAACCATGTTGAACTCTACCTTGAGTTGTAGAGAGAGATAGGTAATAAATAATAATTATTATTGATGGGACATTTAAAATAAATTGGCAGGATAGTTGTGTAGTGGTTTGAATGTTGAACTGCATCTCTGGAGATTAAAAATTTGAGTGCCCACTTGTCAATGGAAGCCCTCTGGGTGACTTTGGCCAAGTCATACTCTCTCAGCCTTATCGGGAGCCAAAAGCAAACCTTGCCACTAACAAATATTGCCAAGAAAATGCCTTAGGGTCACCATAAGTTAGAAGGGACTTGAAGGCACACACAGCAATGTTGTGAATGATACTTTTGAGCAAATGTTCCTAGCTGTGAGGTAACTGTGTGATTCTGCTCACAAAGACTTCAATGTAAATGTAAGTTTTGTTTGACAATCAAGGGACTGGAAGACTCAAAAATGGCCCTTGGGTACTTTGGAGCTGCTGACTCTCTGATCTATGAATATGACATCAGCAGATTGGTCTCTCCAGGATATTTAAACAATCCTTAAGCAGCCAGATCTTCCACTCATACTTCACAATCTAGATGCTACAGTCTTGATCTATTATATTCTTATATATGAAGCTGACTTTCCAAGTCAGATGGCTGGAGAACAAGATGACACTTTCAAGGAAGCCAAATGTATTCTTTTCATGAGTAATGATGAGGCTACTTTAATAAAAAAACACGCTCAGTACTTTTTCCCCGCCCTCATCCGCCTCTTGATTCTCATGCACTCAAGCTTTTTCCATGGCCTTGTGCCAGGTAAAATTTATAAACTCAGTGACAGATTAATCCTAAGGGAGAGCCATTTGGCATGGAAAAATCCAGAAGGAAACCTCTTTTTATTTATTGGTAACGGCCATTCAGAAGTAGCTATATGGTAGAAGACTCTGTGCAATATCCAGACGTGAGATTTTCCTCAGTCATTACTCTAAATTAGAAATCTCGGCTGCATTACCAAGTCTGCTCAACTGTATAAGTTTATCTGCAGGCAGAACGCTGGGCAATTGATTCTGATGCCAAGAATGATTGCCGCATTTTGAAACTGAAATATAATTCCAGCATGACGCTAAAATATTCAGAACTGCCCCAGATCTCAATAGGAAAACTACTGTATGATTTGCCTTGAATGACCCCAGTATTTTAACAGCTGCATTATATATACTGGAAGGGAGACATCCCAGTGGGATTTTAAAAGAAAACAACCCATAGAGATATATTCTCCGAAAAACAAAGAAGTTCTGAGCACTTCCCCAAGCATAGACTTCATCGGCACATAATGGTCAAAACAGGTTGATGAGGACTGAAACAAATCAGTCATTTGGGAATAAAGATGTATCCAGGAAAAATGTGGATGTTCATTTGTCTACTACTAGAAAAAGGGTAATCTTTGTTTAAGTGGAGCTAGTTAAATGCACATACACACACCTGTGCAACTTTTGTGGAGACAAAATTTAAATGCCAAAATAGACGTTTTAAATAATGTTTCTAATAAGACAATGACTGAGCCAGGATGATGTAGTGGTTCCATTGTTAAGACTATGGCTCTGAAGACCAGGATTTGAATCCTTGCTTGGCCATGAAAACCCACTGGGTGACCTTGGGCAAGTTACACTCTCTCAGTCTCAATGATAGATCTGCCTTCGGACTATCATAAGTCAAAAACTACTTGATGGCAACAACAATATAATAATAAAAACTTCTCCAAGTAGAGTTTGATGTTTAAAAGGAAATATATGGCTTATCTAGATTAGTTATGTTTTCAAACAGAAGATGAATACCAGTGAGTAAGGAGGAAGATGAGAGATGGTTCTGTTGAATTCTATGCCATTTCTCTCCTACACACAACTGTCCTTACAAAGGATCATAAATAGTTGTTCAGTTACTATTTAAGGGAAACACCAGCCTGACCAAGGAGTACCATGGATTTAAAATGGTAATGTACGCACTTAACTTTTCACTGTTTTTAACCTTGTTTTATTGTTTAATGTGGTTTGTGTAATGGTGTTTTATTGACTTTATAATGATTTATTTTATGATTTATTGTTTATATTGCCCATTTGCTTTGTTTATTATCTCACATTGTTAGCTGCCCTGAGTCCCCACGGGAGAGGGGGTGGAACAAATAAAGTTTGATTGTTTGATTGATTGACTTTCCTACTTTATTTACCTTATCAGAAGCAAACCAAGGGTACAGTTGTAATGTATTTTAAAAACATAAACACTTTCCTACTAAAATTACTACATTATACTTTCCATTTTGGCTCAGTGATGCACTCTACAGTATAAACATGCTCAAACATTGAGCTTTCCCAAGGATACCCTTCTCTGTGTTCCATCAGCAGAAAGCAATACATTATGAGGAGGCAAACAAGAGGGTCTTATCTACCATGGTACCCTAGATGTAGCCATGCCCTTCCTCTGGGAGCCTGATGGATCCCTGTCCAGATCAGTGGTTCCCAACCTGTGGGCTGTGAGACCTAAAATAAAATCAGTGGCTCTAGATCATTAAATATGGTTTTCTGTGGGCAAGCAAATGGTGATTACCGATGGCATATGTTCTGTATCAGAAACTAGAGCTGATGTGGTCTATTCAATGTAATTTTCTGAATCAGCACCCCAAATAACCAAACTGAATCTAAAGTTGATTCTATTCGTAACCCTTTTGGTATTAATGTTGGAGAGTGGTCCCTAGTCAAGTGGTCCCTGGTCAATAAAAGGTTGGGAACATCTGGTCCAGATGGACACTGCTGCTATCACCCATTTTGTGTGCTGATCAGTGCAGGGGAATGACTCTCCCTCCCCATGTTGCCACTGCAAGTGCCTGTTCATCTTGAATGGGGTCCCTGTGTGATCAGCAAGAAGATGGGAGTGGCTGTATCCCCACCTTGCTGATTACACAAGGATTTCATGTACAAATATCCACAGCCATATGTAGACACCAGTGTATGCATATGAGCAAAAAGAACAAAAAAAAAGAGTCATTCCAAACTTGAGTCAGCAACTTGAATTGAGCTGTTGGAATTAGACTGTGAGCTGAAATTATCTTCATACGTTGATATCAACCTATAGCAATACATCATCTAAATTTATGAAAGCCTAAAGGACATGAAAGCCTAAAGACAGACATAGATTAGGCACCAGGCCCATGCTGAGACAGGTAGGAGGGGAGCGGGAGGAGGGGAGGACTTTCTTCTCTTGACTGAATTTCTTTTGTTTCTTTTTAAAGGGGCAAGATTTAGAAAATCTGGGAATAGGGGAGACATGGAACAGGGAAAACAAAGTCATACTTGTCTTTTCTAAAGAGTGCCTTATCTTCAAAGATTCTTCCGAGCAGAGTTCTTTCAAGCAGAAGAACTGTCAGAGCAGAGATAGTCAAGGCACTGGGGTGTTTCTTAGAACTCAGGTTAAGATGCCATGAAAAGATACAGGATTGTCTTGCCTAAGAACCAACAGAGGTCAAAAATGATATATGAAAGACTG